AGTCATGCACAGGTCCCTGGTCGGGCTGGATAAATTCTTGGGGCAAGTGGCAATCAATCTCAATGACATCTTTGAGGACAAACAAAGAAGGAAAACCGAGTAAGTTAACAGAATTTACTTTGAACTTTGGGGATGAGCCTGGGTGGCCCAGTGCTTAAAGCACTCCCCTGCGACCCTTTAAAAGGTGAGCGGTCTCGAACCCACGAGGTGGTGCTCCGCGGGAGAAAGGCGTGGCAATCTGCTTCCCTTATGATGACAGCCTGGGAGCCCGGAGGGGACAGTTAGGCGCTGCAGGGTGGATCTGAGTAAGAATGGCCAGGTTGGGCAGGGAGTGCATACGTGTATCTTATTTGTGGAATTTCTGGTCTTTGAAATTATGTGTATGTATGGGGTTGGGATTTGGGGAGGTTGACATATGACCCAGTTATAGGCACCATATTTGCATCGATCCGAAGTGAAAAGAACCCTTTGAAGGAACCTTATTTAAAGGGAGACAGCAAAATAGCCCATTATCCCTTCCTTTCTTTGTGGTAAATATCTCTTAAATAATCAAATATTTTGCACTGGGTATTAAGTGAATTAACACCATTTTACTCTTTTGGGGAAGACTTGGGTCATAGAGTTGAACAACTAAACGGTCTCCTGCATGTAAATGGAATCTTAAATGTTGAAAACTGCCATAAAAGGGAGCACTAAAATTAAATTTGCCAGTATAAACCTTAAAATTAAATCTGCCAGTGTAACATTTGAGTGGAAAGGTTGAACTCTGAAGCTGTCAAAGAGAAATTACCACATTTAGAACTGTGTTTCCCCTCAGCCTCATAAACACAGTTGGCCTTTATTTTAAGGAGAGCGTGTGTCTTTTTTTTCAGGGTCAGTTCATCCTGATAGTCTAACACTGTTAAGGGAAAAAAGTTTTGAAGTGTGTGGAGACACTCTCAACTTTGAAAGTACTAACAATATTTTTCTTTGAATTTACAACATATTATTACACCAGAATGAATCCTCCAAAGCCAGTGTTTAGGCCATCTTAAGTGTTGTAGGGTTGGAGACAATTAAATTCTTGTGATGAAATGAATTAATGGTGTTTTACTGAAAACATGGTTTTTTATGACTTTCATGCTTGGGTTTGATATTTCACGATGAAAAAAAAAAGCCTTAATAATAAGTTAACAGTATTCTGTCTTTTTGCAAAATATAATGATATCAGAGATGGTGTGTATTCACTGCCTCCGACAGCTTATAGTTGAGAGCATTAAGATTAATGAAATTATTGAGAGAAAAGTGGAGTAACTTAAATTCTTCAGATTTCCCAAAGAGCTGTGATAATTCCTTCAGTGCAAACAAAATTTTCTCTTTAATTTTTAAAAATAGTAATAATGTTTAAAAATTCACCATAGGTGTTGGTTTGGGGTTTTTTTTTTTGGGTTTAAGTTAACTACCTCCTGTTCTTATCTGTACATTTCTTCCCACAGGCTCCTCTGGATTGGATTTTTTTTCCTCTCAGATCTTTACCAAAGATTTAATGTACACAGGGGAAAAGGGCAAAGAAAAAAAATAGTTGGAGGCCAAGAGGAAAACTGGGAAGTAATTAAACAAGTTGAGCAGATAAAATATTTTAGGAAACGAGAGAAACAGCTTTTAAATGACTTTGAACCTACATCAGTGATACTAAAACTATTTGATACTTAAAAAGCATCATCTCTCTTTCCTCCGAGGAATTTGCATTAAGGTGAAAAATGGCCAGCTATCGGCTAATTAATATTAAATTGTCAATTTTAAGTCACACCAAATCTGTATTAAAATGTTTTAAACTTTTAAGGACGTCATACTTGGAAGAAACTTCAGGTTTCTTTGTACACATACAGTATTGCTCCTATTAATGAATGATACAGACCTTCTCTGCAAGAAAATTTTCCCAAGTGAAAGTAGGCCCAAGAGTGAATCCATGGATTCTGAGGACTGCCTAACCTTTGAAAGTTTTTGTTCTGTGCCTGGTCTTCGGCAGCATCAGGGTGAGCAGAACTCTAACGTCGGTGTCTCTCCTTGAAGAGAGTCAGTGCTGGCCGGTAAATTTGAATTGATCAAAACTCTTGGGGGGAAACAGCTTTTCAGTATTGTCAGGAGGGCTGGTGGTGATACTGCTTTCAAAGTGATTTTCATGTAGCATTCATCTTTGTGGATAAATGGGGACCACATACTTAATGAGGTGTCTTTATGGGTAATATTTCTCATTTTTTAATATATTTAATAGTTTCCTTTTTCCAGCACAGCTGGACATGTGGCGCAGTTAGAGGCAGACTTGAATCACCAGTGTGTTGCAAGAAAGATATTTAATATTCTGCACTCTGCTGCACCTTGTCAGCATATCCCCGAGCACTTTATAGAAAAGCAGAGTGAGTGGTGAGGCACCAGCTGACGTAGAGGTCCCCTGGAAGTGCGGGGTGGGACACCCTTACTTTGCTGACACTGAAGACAAGAATCTGCAGCCTGTCTTCCATTTGATGTCATAATAGGCAAAGTGGCGTGATGGCTGAAACCATTTTTCCCCCTCCCTCTCCTTTTAAAGAGAGGGTTCCAGTCCCTCGCCAGAACGTGCTTACTGGGGCATAGAAAGAGAACTTCTGTATCTCACACTTTAATGAGCGTCTGCATTGATTCTGGCACGAGATTTAAGGAAATAGTACAGTGTTTAATAATTGAATGGTAAAATCGTTCATGCTGTTATGTAATATCTATTGATTTTTTTACAACCGGAGTGGGTGATGTTGGTTTGTATTTATGGCTTGTGAAAAGTAACGATGCTGGGAGCCCCAGAGCTGGGCATGACGCAGGCACACGGTGGCCTTGGGTCTCAGCTCTCAGCCCCGCACCTGCATCCTGCCCTTTGGCACCCAGGCTGCCAGGCTTGCCCCAGTGCTGACCACACAGCACCAATTGCTGGCAAATAGTTCCCACATGTGTGGTGGTTTTGCACATGGACCTGTGCCCACTAAAAATTGAACCAAAGCCACTTACAGTTTAAATCCAGCACTCCAGAGGTGGAAAAATAAAATCAGCATTAATCTACCAAAGCCCCAAATGCAGTGTCTTCATTTTACCTTTTTTGGAGCCTGGAGAACCAAGTGCCATCTCTGGAGTGAGTCTTGAAAATCTCATTAAGACTTGCCTATTAGATCCATTTCAGATAAAAGCAGCTGAAGTTGTTTGTCACGCCTACATTTTTTTTTTTTTTTTAGGATATTTGTGGAAATTCTTTGCAGGGTTTTTTTTCTCTCCCCTTTGAGATGTGAGAGAGGTGGAAACTATACTGTATTTACAATTTGCATTCAAACACGGATCTGATTTTTTTTCTTTTAAGCTTACCACATTCCCCCACTCAAAAGAAAGAAACAGAGCAAGACATACACACACACACACACACAGAGACAGAGAAGCTTGATTATGTTATGAATATGATTCTAGAAATAAAAATGTAATAAACATTTTTTGGGCGGCCACACCTACCATCAAGACATGCACTCAAGGGATAGAAAACAAGTAGTGTTACATCTGGGGTGTCACATTTCCAGGCTGTTACATGGTCCTGTAACATAGGATCTGTTTTTAACCTTATTAGCATAGGACTTATGTTTTTGACCTTATTAACATATGTGACTCACCCGATTCGAGTGAACTGTTTTCCTGCAAATTGTTACTCATCATCTTTACTTGACTAACTTTAATCTGACTTTGCAAAATTACTTTCTGTGCCATGGTTTCCTCATCTGTTAACTTTTTCTCAGGTTTGCTGTATTTTGTTTTACACATGGGAATCTTTAACATGCTTTCTTGCTAGTATTTTGTTTTTGACTTTTGTTACAGATTATATTTTCCATGCATCCTCGTGATATTCAGGATATTTCTGAAGTATCTACCAGAAGTAGTTTTCTCCTTAAAAGTGATTCTGTTTTCCACAGCTATGAGTTAATAACTTCCATTGCCAAACTTTTGGGATGTTCAGTTTTGTGACGTTTAAGGTTTTCAATTATACAGAGTTTATTGCTGTGATTTCTTATTTCCTGTCCCTGTGTCTTTAGATTCCATTTGCCTTAAATTAGAGATTTCCTCAGCTTAGAGTCTAGGCTAACAATTTCTGTTATAAAATATTCTATTCTTAAAAAAGATAAGTAACTTGTCTTAGTGGAAGTAAATCTTTTTTTTTTAAGTAAATCTTAATTGGTTGAATTTCTCCAACTTCGTTAACAAGAATATTTTTTTCCTCACAATGTTCCTTGAGAATTTGTGAGAGTGGGCAGTGTACAAGACATTCCCATAGAGCTGATGCTATGATGACAAAGTGAGGTTTTTGGTAGACAGCTGAACCAAAGAAAGATGTTTAATTTTTTTTTTTTTTTTTTTTTTACAACATTAGTATATGGCTGGGAAAAGGATACTTATTAAGGAGTTTTGGTATGTGTGTAGGCAGCCAATGGCAGGCAGAAAGGACAAAGTGCCCCCTCTCCAGAAGACCTTGGCTATGCCAGATTGTATTCCAAGTTGCTACTTTCCTGAGAAAGATGTTTAATTTTAGGAAAAAAGGATTCCATCAAGTGTCCTGTGAAAAGACGAGAAAAGGAATAGGAATTGGAAATATGCAGAAGCATTGCCGGGCCTCGGGTTCGGTGGGAACAGCACGACTTCTCCCTGCCGTATTCATAATGCAGAGCAGAGAGGCACTTGCATTTCGATTCTTAAAGGAAGAGTGAAAAATGGTGAAGAACTCTTACTGACTAGATTTTACTCAAGACCGTGGAGACGGCAGAGTATTCTGGCTCTTACGCTTGAACCCTAAATTCGAAGATGTTCTGTGGTGTGCTGACACAGTTTTAAGTTTCTGTTAGGGATGGATTTTCACAGATTTATTCCAGTCTTCTTGGTTCTCATGTTGTGAGGATTAGCATTAACTATGGATGGTATGTTGCATTTTGCCCTGTTAATCAAAAGGTCAGTGGTTTGAACCGGCCAACTGCACGTTGGGGAGAAAGATGGGCAAAGATGGCCTCCTTCTGTAAAGATTCACACACCCAGGAAACCTGATGGAGGGACGTCCCATGTCAGAATCCCCTCTCAGACAGTGGTTGGTGGGCAGTAGGACTTCTTGGGCAGAAGTTCTAGCTAATTTAAGACTTTTGTAGATTTTGAAGGTTGCTTGGGAAACGTTTGAAAGAATATAAACTCAGTTGCTTGATCATCTTTGCTGAAGACGATTCTTTGCTATAAAGACTCTTGGAGTATGTTGAAACTTTTTTTTCCCCCCTGCAGATGTTACTCATCAGCTTTGGATTTTTTTTTTCTCACTGACTTTGCAAAATTATTTTCTGCGCTTTGGTTTCCTTATCTGTGAACTAAGGATGTAAAAGCAGATGAATGTTTCCATCAGGCTTAGTGTGTGCTTTGTAAATTAGAGGGAACACTAATGGCTTTTGGGGGTGCTCTTTTTCTCTCTAAAGTGTGTAGATTTTAAATTTTCATTTTTGAACACCTTTTGGTGTTGTGTACCTTGGTGCCCAAAGGGGGCCATGATCATGTGTTGGGCCACAAACTGGCTGAGCGATGGAACCCTCCAGCCACTCCACAGGAGGGTGTGGCAGGCATCACCAGTAGTTCCAGTCTTGAGAAGCCTTTGGTGGAGTTCCAGTCTGTTGTTGGGGACAGATTTTTTTTTTTTAAATGTTAATTAAAGGAACTCTGGGAGTGTTGTGGTTAAAACATTTTGCTGTGTCCCAGAAAGCCCACAGTTGAACTCAAAAGAGAGGGATGGGGCCGTCTCTTTCCATAAGATTCACAGTCTTGGGAAGCCCATGGGGTGGGTTGTGCTGGGCCCTAGAGCAGCACGGTGAGAACTGGCTATGGCAGTGGCTTTTGTCTTAAGGAACTTTGGATTATTTGCCTAGAGTTTGGAGATAGTGCTGTTAAGAATGAAAAGGGATGTGTAAAACACCTGACTTGTCAGCCTCGTCATTGCACACCAGTATTGAATGTATTAGGATTGTGTCCAGCCTGAATCCTTGCAGTGCTAGGATGGTGCAGGAACTGGGGCCCCTGAGCTCCAAATGCCTCTACAGCTACCAAGCCTCGCTGCTGGGGTTCCCCTTTCTGCCTATTTCTTCTTGTAAATGTAGATGCCCAAATGTGTGTATTTAATTTCATTTCTACTTCACTGCTTTAACTTTGTGGCCAACACGCACCCATACCCCGGTGAGTGGCTTCCAACCCATGGTGCTCCTCCTTTGAGATTGTGAGGCTGTAAATCTTTAGAGAAGGAAACTACCTGCCCATCTTTCTCCCCGGGAATAGTGGGTGGCATCAACCTGCCAACCCTAAGATTAGGAACTGTGCCAAGAGGGCTCCATAGTTCCTGGGGTGGTGGTCTAGACCATAAGCGTGTCTCGTCCTAAAAACCAAAACAGAGACCAGTGGGTTAAGATGGTGAGTGTGTGACTTTTTTCACTCCAGAGTGTTCTTAAAGGATGACGTTCGGATCTAATTAGGAGGTAATGAATACATTGTGTAATTATTTAGATGTATAATGTAACCCTTTAGTATCGTACTGAAACCCTCTATATGGTAGTCAGTTCATATGTACCTTATTTTCACATGTAACACACATTAATAGGAACTAATGAGCACTCATATAACATAAGGGAGCTCTGGTGACCTGGTGGTAAGGAAGTGTGCTGTCCATCCAAAGGTACACAGTTTGAATCTACCAGCTGCCCCTGTAGAGGAAGTTGGGCAGTGTCCTCCTGTGGGATTGACTACCTCTGAAAACCTCGAGTGGTCAGCTGTGGGTTGATTCCAACTAGGTGATACACAGCAGAAACCAAAAAATGTATAAAATGCACGTTATTTGCGTAAAAATACATTATATCACAGGTATGCTCTCTAAGACCTGTGAACCAGTCTTCCCCTTGATGAATAGTAAGTGTAATCTTCTTTTTGGCATATCCTGTTGGTAAAATGAGAATGAACTAATGTAAAATTAGATCAGAGTTCCTTTGTAGCTAAGAAAATTTGTTACAGTTGATTAGAGACATATTTAAATAATAACCTGTCTGCAGGAATGGGTATTGAGCCTCATTGTTAAATCATGTACAGACATTGTGGAAATTGTCTAGGCTTCCTTTTGCAGAATTTTGGGTTGGTTTTTTTTGTTTGTTTGGGGTTTTTTTTTTGGCTCTTTGCCCTGTTAAGTGACCACTGGGACACTGACCACTGAAAAAGAAATCATGGATCAGAACTCTGTAAACAAAATAAAAATAAACCTTGTTTTTTAGACATCATTTACAAATGGACAATATAATACAGTGGAATGAATGACTGCAGAAGACCTAGCTCCATTTAAAGTAACGTTAATTTGTTATAAGATGGCATTGTATTCATTTAGCAATAATAAGTTAAGCAAGTAGACCCTAACAGGACACACTGGAGTTGTTTCCTCCTCCCCAGCAAAAAACTTTTGTATGAATTTTTTTCCTGCAGGATTTATTCCTTTATCATTTCTTACATTTTACCCATTTCACATATTTTATGTAGGAAAAGGCTTGATGTGCAATTTTAATTACTTATATGCAATGTATGCAGCAGGCTGTAGTTTTAACACAATGGCTTTAAAGCTTTTTAACATAAAGTATATGTAGCGGCTCTTAGCTTTAAAACAATTCTTTTCAAACTTTAAAATAATTTTTGGAAGGAGCTAGAGTATTATTTTATTAAAAAATGTGGCTAATGATTATAATACTTAAAAATAATATGTATTGATGATGTTTTAAGAATCTCTCTACCTCACTGTCTTGTGTGTGTGTGTGTGTGTGTCTCATTATTTTTGGGGTTTTTCATTTCCCCCATTCATGTACATTGTATTTCACACATTCCTTCATTCACATTGTTTCCTAGATCATTCCTATACATTGTGTCTTTTAATGTTAAAAAACCTTCTTAGCCCATTGGTAGTACATACTCTAGATGGAAATGTATTAGCTATCATAGGTAAGAATTTTTGATGAGTGAATTTCAAATAATAAATGAAAGAGTATCTGAAAACCTTTACTTTTTCGAGCCCATTTCAAACCTCCAAACACATATCCTTTCAGTATGTGTCACATCACAGAAGCAGTGACCAGGCCTTGAAATGAACCAGTGAGTAAAACCAGAAATCTGGCTGATGGAGTCTCCAGCTGTGTTTTGGTGTCCATAGTCCCTCGATGTGTAGGAACTTAACCTGAAAAACTATTTGTATCCATATCCTCTCCTGACTGTGTGTTAGAATTAATTTCCCCCTTTCATTTTCTTCTTTTTAAGGTGGTTCAGATTAGAATCCAAACAAGGAAAAAGAGCCAAAAACAGGGGTGAGATAAAAGTCAATATTCAGTTCATGAGGAACAATATGACAGCCAGTATGTTCGATTTATCAATGAAGGACAAAACGAGATCTCCTTTTGCAAAACTAAAAGATAAGATGAAAGGAAGAAAAAACGATGGGACATTTTCGGATACGTCTTCTGCAATCATTCCAAGCACTCCCCTGCCTGATGCCAGCACGGAGTTTGCAAGCCACGAAATCCAGATGAAATCTAAACCAAAAAAACCTTTTCTTTTGGGACCTCAGAGACTTTCTTCAGCCCATTCAATGTCTGACTTAACTGGGTCCCACATGTCCTCTGAGAAACTGAAGTCAGGCACTGTTGGTCAAACACATCTTCTGGGGCGCCAGATAGATTCCTTTGGGGCAGTTCCAGAAAGCGGTAAGAACTGTTCTTTCTAATTGTAGCCAAGGTGGTTTGAAATACATGTCTTGATTTTTTTTTTAAAGTTTAATCTCATTGTATCCACAGTGGTCTAAAATGCTTACGCATTTTACAGTTTAACTTCAAAAGTTGGAGAATAAACATTGGCAGTTTCTTATAAGTATTTTCTATATATAGTCTTTCCTCAAATATTTAATCGAGCACCTACTATATAAAAAATTGGTGAGTGCATTGAAGTCAGTTTGTTTACATATCTATTATTTGATGATAATAAAATGTGCTCTAAGCTCCTTTCATGGCCTTCTTTTATTACTACTTCTTGTTTCTCCAGAGCCAGATGCATAAGTGAATATTCCATTTCATCAGAATGTACCCAGAAAAAAGTTGAAACAAAGTAAATTTAATGCTAAATGATGGAAGGAAAAAGAAAAAAAAATCTTTTGACAATTTTTAGCCTTCTGCTGCCAAGCTGAACCTCTAGTTTTGACACCAACGTGTGCTTGAGTAGCTGTTTCTTTCTGAGCTGAGCTGATACTAATTGTCCAGCAATATGCTAATTGTTTTTAGCCTGGATGCTTTAGACTGCATTGTACAATTGCCTTCCGTGGTTATTTTGAAGGTTAATATCTTGAAATAGCTAATTGCTCTCCTTCTAAAAGCAGAACCCGTGTGCACACTGAATGTGTCAGAGTGTGATGTAATGTGTCACTGATTATGTTCTAACCACAAAATTGTTTGCAGGAAGTCTCAAATCTCCACACAGAAGAACATTAAGCTTTGATACTTCTAAAATGAACCAACCTGACAACAGCGTGGCCGAAGGCGAACCGTCGTCCTTCGGAAGACAGAATGACCCATTTACAAATGTGACTGCTTCATTACTCCCAAAATTTGCAACACTGCCAAGGAAGAAAAACCCATTTGAAGAAAGCAGTGAATCATGGGACAGCAGTGTGAATTTATTTTCCAAATCAGTTGAAATAAGGAAAGAAAACAAAAGAGAGAAGAGAGAGAAAGTTAGCCTCTTTGAAAGAGTTACTGGGAAAAAAGACAGCAGAAGATCTGATAGACCTAACAGTGGGGGGTCACACAGTCCTTGTGACGTGAAATCACCTAATGCGTTCAGTGAAAACCGCCAGGACTGCTTTGATTATGAGTCAACTAATCCGTTTACAACAAAATTCAGGGCTTCTAATATAATGCCATCTTCAAGGTAAGCTTAATGGGGGTGGGGAGAGGAGTGCTATTTTGCAGAGATACGATGCTTTCAAGTATCACATAATCCCTTTTAAATACTTGGATATTTTTAGTTTTTCTTTTACTTCAATGAACTTAGTCTTGTTTTATTGTTATACTTCATTACGGTGCCAGGTAATGATGCTTCCATCGTTGAACTGAGCTCTCTGGCTGTATTTGTTAGGTGCCATTGAATCTTACCCACTCAAATTCATAGTGATCTTCTGGACAGCAGATTGAAACCTTGCCCTGGCCTGTACCATCTTCACAATCTCTGCCAACATGGGGCATTTTCAGTCAGAACTGGCTAGAAGGATAAGAAAATCTTTATGTAGAAGTGTCTTATTCCCTATCCTCAATTACTTCCACTTTTTTGAGCCAAAAATTCACTGACATTTGTGGAGAGAATGGCATAGGTTTCGATGAGCTCTGATGAGAGTGGGTATTAATTCAAGCCAGAAATTTAGATATGTTTTATTCCTAAATATTCCAGGGATTAGTGCATGCCTTATCTGGAAAGGATTAGTGGACAAATAGTAGCCCATGGCTATTTAAGAAATACTGCTTTAAGTATTAATTTTTATAATAGGGGCTAACTATCCTTATTAAATGGCTGTGAAGAAATAGTTTAAAAAGTTGTGAATTAGATTTTATTAACCCATGAGAGTACTATAAATGTACAAAAAGAATACCTCTATGGTTTATAGTCAAAGAAAGAATATCAGGTTAAACATTAGATTTTCAAATGCAGTTTCTCAATTACTTATACAATGCTGCTGTTCCTATTCCTGGTTGAAGTTGGAATGTATGTATTTAAACATGATAATGAATTTTACACCAGTGCACAATGGAGTAAGTGATTTAAGGGAATCCTAAGTAGAGAATAAAATGAATTTATTGGAATCAGAAGAAATCCCCAGCAAACCACGTGATAGAAAGTTTGCCATATCTAATCCAGGCTTATTCTTGAAGCAGCCCCGAGTGGGTGTCCTGGCTTAGAATCACTGTGACCTCTATAAACCTCAGCATCTCCATCTTTGAAACAAGAAATATTATCACTACTTGATAGTGCACGAGGATTAAGTGCATATGCAATATACAGAGCACAGAGCCAGGCTCCAAAAAGGGATTGCATAAATGCTGACTGCTGTGATGTTTCATGTGCTGGTCTGTCGTGTTTTACACACTCAGAGCTTTGCCCTTCTGTGCGTGGAGGGTGTAGTATCCACAGTCCCCCCTTCAGGCTCTTTCCCCCCACCTCTCTCACACTTTTTCAAAGGAAAGTATGCATTTCTCTTACTTTCTTTAATCAATAAATGGATATGTGCTGTGGTTTTTGAAAGTATCATTTTGTCATCTTTTTTAGACTGTACTCCAAAGAAATGCTTTTTTTATCATATGGCTTTAATATTTTACTGATGAATCCATAGTTTTAATATGCTGCCTTAAACCTTTTTTATTTTAGTATTTTACACAGTATATGTCACTTACTCTCTTAAAGTCCTAAGTTTTCGCTTTTTTCTTATTCTGTTGAATTTATTTTTGCTAAAGATTGGTGAAAGCAGAGCAGAAGGAGAATGGAACATCCCATGGGCATTATTACATGCCTCTGTCTGAGACAGCTTGACAGATTGGATAATTTAGAGTCCAAGAAGAATGAGAAATAGTAGCAAGATAGTATCTGGAAAAATAAGTGTCTTCAAATCTTATATTGCCTGTACGTGGACTATATATATATGGACCACCAGGGACTTTCAAAGTGAGCATAGCATTTTGCCAGATTCAGACTTTCTTTGTATTGGGTTACTTCAGTATTAATGCTATTTCTGTCAAAATTCTGTGTCATGATCTATGTACAAAATGATAGCAAGCATGGGGTGTGTGTGTTTGTGTGTTTAAATTCCAATTTATAAGTTCCTAAGGTACTGTTTTAAAACAAATGGTGGGGGGGGGGGGGTCACTCCTTAGCCAACTGCCAGCCAGTCAGTCCCAACTTGTAGCAAGCCTCGAGAGAGCAGACCACATTATATAGTGCCCAAGGCTGTAAATCGTTACGGAAGCAGATCACCACATCTTTTTTTCTGTGAAGTGGCTGGTGGGTTCAAACTGCCATCCTTCCCATTCACAGCTGTCACGTTTCTTCGTTACCTGGAAGTTACTATATTCATTGTGAGTCACAGACCATCTTTGTTTTGTGCTAAGTGCAGAACATTTTAGTAAAGTGTTAGCGTTAATTAATAGTATGAAAAAGGATTAAGTAAAAATGGTGGAAGAATGTGTAGCTCAGATTTTGAAGCAGAGCAGCTTTCTCGTGACTGAAGTCAAGAAGGTTACAGTCAAGGCAGTTTTGTCTTTAATAATCATGCAATCATTATATTTTCATCTTCCCAATATTACCTCTCAGTTATATGGACATTTTCAACCTCTCACATTAAAATCTAATCCAGATGTTCTTAGTAGCCGCAGACTCACGGAGTTACTTGGGGCCATGTTTTCCTTCCTTCAGGTTACACCACCCTTCACCACCTGGTGCCCAGGGCTGCTGCAGAGAGGAAGGCGAATGGCCATACATGGGCATTGCTGGTTGCCAGGCTTGGCAGTGTGGACATTACCTTCATGATTGTTCCAGAGTGGAACCCTTGTATCTGGCCAGAACTTGGTCATGTCTCAACTTTCCTGTAAGGGCTTGAGGAATGAGCTTTTAACTGTTCCCAAGAGAATGAATAGACAGCAGATGAAAATACAGTGTTATCGGTACCCATCAGTGCCAGCTCAGCTTTTTACTGAAAGTCCAGACTTTCAGATGGTGTATGTGCACATCACAAAAATGTGCAGTGTATATGTCATGCAACATGAGAACAAAGAAGTATAGTTAGAATTGTCTTAGCTTTTAGGAATGAGGTTTTATAAGTGGTATAAGGAACTCTTGTGAAGTGATACGTAGTATCTTGGACTACTAATTGCAAAGTTAGCAGTTCAAACCCATCAGACCCTCCATGGGAGAAGGATGGTGAGTCTTCTCTGTTAAAGATTTATTTATAGGCTTGATGACCTGATGGAAGGTCATTGTGAGTTGGAAACAACTCGATGGCAGGGGGTATTATTAATGTAGAGTTGTTTGTGCTACAAACTGTAAAGAAAGCAAGGGCCACATGGGACAGCTATATCTGACCTTTACCAACTCCACCAAAGGGAACTCTCCAAGTCAGCAACATCCACAACACAAAACTAATTCCATGAGGTCAGACATGTCCCCACACTCCCACACCTCTTTCTACTCCTTACAGCACAAATCTTACTGTTCTACTGGGTCTGAAATATGTTGTGGTCACTCTCAGACTACACAGAGCCATATTGTTGTTAAGTGCTGTTGATTTGTAGATGACTCATAGCAACCCTATGAATGAAAGACCTGAGCACTTATATAACTTTCATCGTTTCTCCAAGTTCGTAGGGTTTCCGGAGGCAAGCTGTTATGGAAGTGGATGCCACTCCTGCTTCCAAGCTTGTTTTTATTGGGGAGCTCCACCAAACAACAGTCCACCATGGGTAACCATTATTGCCTTTGACTCATCAGTGTCACAGTGTTTAGCATCACAGCAACCACGAGTTACCTCTGTACAGCAAATGGACAGACAAGTGCTATGCCACTTAAAAGAATGTTTGACCAAAACCAATTAAAACCAGGCCTGAGGGCCACAGACTAAAATCACCCACTTTTGGCTTGGTAGAATCACTTTCTGTCCACTAGGCCAACTGAGCTCTTTTGTTGTTGTTGTTGTTGTTGTTGTTAAGTGCCGTCGAGTCATAGACAACTCATAGCAACACTATGAACGAAAGACCTGAACACTTGTATAACTTTCATCGTTTCTCCAAGTTAGTTCAGGTTGGCAGTAAGATATAATTTAGGACAGCTTCTGAAAGGTTCCCCAGGCATCTCAACCTTGAGAGCCTCAAGCCTTTAGGCCAGTGTTACAAAGGCTTAGTCCTGCCAGTTAAGGGTGTCCTCCTCACACCCCCCCCCCCAAGTCCTCCAGAGAGCTTGGGCAAAGGCTCTTAGCTCTGATGCCTTGGGATTGCAGTCCCAAGGTCAGTTCCAGCTCGTGGGGTCTCTGGATCTCAGCTTCAGCTGCAGCTCTTCTCCTGTAGGTCTGGCTGCCATGTGAATCTCTGGCCTCAGAGGGCACACTGATTCTTTGCTGGTGGTGAGATTCTCAAATTCTACTGCTGAATCTGCTCAGTTTAGTGCTAAGATTGCTGAGTACCTTTGTGGCTAGGCCAGCACACCCTGTTCACATGTTCTTGACATGGCAAAGTCAAAGTCAGTGCTGGAGAAGCCATCTTGAACAAGAAACCCTTAACACCACACAAACTTAATGCTGTATTTTTTAATTGAAAATCACAAGTGCTTTAGTATCATCAGTATCAATTCATTTGTGTGTTTATTCTTACATTTGTGAAGTAATGCTTTCTTGAATCACACGCCCGTTGTTGACTAGTTGGAACTGACTTGTAGCTGACCTTGCACTGGGTTTCCAGAAGCTATAAATCTCATGAGAGGATTTTGCCCATCTTTCTCTCTGAGTAGCTAGTGGATTCAAAATACTTCCCTTTGCATTGACAGGGCAGCTCCCTGCCGACTCGATCATTAGAGCGCTTGAATTTTCACTATATCATTTTCCATTAACAAATATGCTTACATGTTCCATTATGCCATTTTCAAACTGGCTTACAGCCAGTTGGTTTGCAGCCAATTCTTTGACATTTTCGTTGGACAGTAGAAATGAATATATACGGTCACTAAAGCTAATTTTCTTTTTATTTTGCCATACCAGTAGATAAACCTTCATTTGATGGCAGTCATGTGAACAGGTTCCAGTTTATTCATCTGTGAGTAGAAGGGATGTACACCTTGTACAGAATCCTCCATGTTGACGCACTGTCTCCATACTCTGGACTAGTGATGAGCAAACTATC